CTGGGGCGGAGCGGCGGCAGCGGCCTGGCCCGGCCTGCTGCTCCTGCTCCCTCTCTCTTCTCCCCTCCCTGCTCCCTGTTCTGTCCCGCTTCGGTAGCAGCACTTGCCCTGCTTTATCAACAAACAGTTCTCAGATATAATATTGCTGCGCTTGTGCTTTATTTTCATCTGAGAGGTCTATCAATAGGAATCCTCCCCAGCTCCCCTTTTACAGCAGGATGGGGCATTCATACACCCTGTTTACAGGGTCAGACAATAGGGATGATATATACCCAAGTACCATATGTCTGCAAGAAGGGCTTATATTCTAATTTACTATATTACCATACAGTCACATTTACCATTACCAGTCTCACAAATGGGGATGCCATGGTCTTGACAGTATTGCAGAGTTCAGCTGATCTCTCTGTGCTGCTTCCAACTGGATTTTTATATTATTTGCATTGCAAAGGTCTGTGGACTACATTTTATGTGAAATTTTCAGCTGAATGTATTTGCTCATTACTATCTCACCACCTGTTACAAGAAGAAAGCCCTTAACTTCAAATGAACAACCCCTGCCTTGGTAAAGCTGGGCTGTCTTCTCTACAGAGACACTAAGTGTTTCACCTCAAGAGAACTAAACTAAGCAATGCTCACATTTCAGTCCTTCTTTCCATTCCTAGGCTGATAGATGGTACCTATGAGGAGTTACCAGTTCAAAATACGACATTTCAAAAGGTAGTCAATTAAGCCAATATCCCTAGCTCAAGGCAATGCAACATCAGGCCTTAGCTTTATTTATTGCAACCAGAGGGGATTTTCATCAGAAAATAGTGGAGGGATTTAGCCTAGTGACAAATGTGTCAGCAATAAACCCCTCTTCAAGTAACTGCATTTCATTAGGTCTGATCTCAGGTTTCAAGGAGGTCTGATAGAACTGTTAGAGCCATCTGTAAAAGTAACACTGAGATAGCTAAATTTTTTGGGGAGTGCAAAAGATAGCAAACTCCATGGAGTTTATGGTCTTACGTAGAACAGCCGCAAAACAAGCAAAGGAAAATACAGTCGTGGCTGTTTCCCTGAGGAGGAGCTGAGGAGATAACTGGCAAATAAATTGTCTGTGCTCTCAGGCAAGGTGAGAGCTACTGATCGACCACAGCCCCCTGTGATGACACAGCATCTCCCAAGCCAGACAGGGTTTTAAAGAGCTGTTTAAAACACAGCTAACATAGAATTTCCATTAAAGACTTCTGAAACTGTACTGAAACACAGACATAGCTGTGATGGGAAATGTGGGCTGCAAATGGATGACAATGGAGAACTGTAGAGATTAAGAGAAAATAAAACCTGTGGTGTCACATTGTAATGTCCCAGATTAAAAGACAATAAATCTGATATTTAAAAATTTGAGCAAGATGGACAGTGAACAACCCTGCTCTGAAGGGTAGGATAGGAAAGGAGACAGTTCCACTGGGCAGGCAATGGCAAACTGTCCTCCTCAAGATGGAGCAAGTCAGCAGAAGGGGATATTTTTTCCATACACCTTAGTCTGTCCAGCACAAGTGACCACATGGGGACATCAGCAACTCATAGATGATTGATTTGTATTTTTCCTGACAGCTTGTTTCTTTCTGAGTGGTCCATTAATTTTGACTTCAGGCAAAAAAAATTCAATGCAAAACCAAACAACAACCAACCAAAAAACTTGCGTAGGGAATTTTGGTTTTGGATAAAAAGAAATGTTTTACAATAAATAGTAGAACAGACTTACAAATTCAGAAACAATTTTCATTACTATTCCAGATATAATGAGATTTATTAATATGTATTAGGACAAAGTCTGTGTACAAATATGTAATTTAATATGCTTTATAAAATGGTTGTATCTCAAACCACTAACTTTACATTTGAATGGGTAGTAAAGATAATTTGCTATTTCCTGAAATACTAAAAGCTCAGAAAACCATGCTTTCTTAAGACAGATATTGGTAGACTAGAATAAACTGGCTGCGTTTTCTGTGCAAGATTCACCCACAGATAGACTATGAGTAAGTCAATACTGCTATCAATTTTTCTTAATTAGGAGGCTTTTACCCATGAGGAAGAAAGAAGCATAACTACATCTCAGAACTACTTCGCTCATGCTTCAGCCTGCTGTTGGCCAATTTATCTTTTTCAGCCACAGCTCTAAACAACTTCTGGGAAAAGGGCTCATTTGAAGAGTACATACTTCCAGTTTTGGAAGCAATTGTAAAAATAGCTTAGTAGGATTCTTATTAATAAGCGTATGTTCTTTTACTGCTTCCTCGGGGTCAAGCATAACTCATCTATGTTGTTTTTTGCTATTTAAGTTAGATAATGAAACTGTAAGTAATACTTTAGAAATCTGTATAAAACTTCTGTGCTGAATTAAGTGGGCAATATCAGTTGCCACATAGAACTGAGTTACTATTACTTTTAGAAGACAGGAAGCTGTGCCTGCAGCCTGCTGATAATTTACATGTTCACAGGCATATTTTTCACTAAAAGAAATGCTTTTTTCCCTGCTATGTTGTGTGAAAAGCCCAAATGAAAAAAAAAAAAGATTGATGTCATGCATGTGAATGTAGAGAGCTGTCAAATCAGGCACACATCCTCATCCCTCCCAGGGAAAAAAATGCAAAGTAGAGACTTCTAAAACCACTTGCCCTTTAGAAAACAAGACCATACCCACCAAACTAAAGTTTGACTCTTTCCTGGCACAACTAGCTCAGTAGACACAAAGCCACGCCTGTGAAAAAAAAAGTAGAAAAAAGCCTGTTTCTTCCTTTGCTACATTTATAATAAGTTCAAGCACAACTTGCCACAATTTGAAAGTGAAAAACTCAAAGTGAAGTTGGGTTTTTGCTAAGTTCACACAATGTTCCTTTGAAAATAGTAAAGTAGACAGAGGCAAGAGTCTCATACTCTACAGTGTAAAAATGGTGCTTTAATGTTATCAAGAGCCTTGAATGAGGCTTTCAAGCAGCATAAAGAACTAACACACAATTAAAAGACAGGAGATAAAACCTGTTTTATATTCCATATTTACAAATCTGTAATTATTTTAAGGATTTCATTCTCTTCCCATGCCTGCATGTATAATTTGAATTACTCTAGTATGAAACTGATTAGGTCAACATATGAGAACTTAGATAGATATTTTCTCTTTACAGCCATCCAAGAATTAGATATCTAGCTTAAATTGTCCAACTAGGCTTTCATCCTAGGCCATCTAGTTTTTGCTGAAAGATTGGTGTCTTGGTTTTCATCCATGGGCCAGACTCATCAATGAATTATTACTCCATGCTCTGTTCCCAGATTTCTCCTGGGTGCTTTAAGAATGTGAATCAGACATAAATCAGCAATGCACTTACTGCCTGCATGAGAGTACAAACATCTAAGGGGAAGAGATGCAAGGGGTTTTGCGATGCCACAGCAACACTGCTCCAAAATGCATCATCACATCAGCTTAAGCAGTTTAAGGTGGAAAAACATATGTAATCACTGCCTGAATTTGGGACATTATCTGTATTTTTTCTCCCTGAAAGTGCCCAGCCTTTTGCCACATACACAAGGTGTTTCTGACAGGCAAAGATCACAAACTCCTTGCATAGACTCAGAGCAGACGTTTTGTCTTCTGAAGCAAAAACTTTTATCAAAAAAGTAACCTAAATTAATGGATTTTTCATAAGGGGGATATGGCAGAGAGATGCCACAGGGATGATGCATGCTGAAAACCATTGATCATTTCATCTGCTTGCTGCTCTTCATCTTTCCATAGCTACCAAAATGTTCAAAACTAATCTAACTAATGTTAAACTACAGCTTTTATTAAACAGAATGAAGAGAAAAACATGGAATTAACCCATGCATGCAGTGAGACATTTTTACCATTCATATATAAAGCCTTTTGATTTTCAGAAAGCCATGTGGAATATGAAGGATAACCAGAAAGTTATTTCTACAGCTGGCCTTCTTGACTTGTTTCTGGTGCCTAACTATGCATCAGTCACATACTTTATATTCTCCTAGTGACATTGATAATAGCAACTTGAAACAAACCTGTCTAAATGCTTCAAAATTATCAGGTGAACTTCAGTGAAAAAGTTGCCAATTACTTACAGTGATAACAAGGTAACAAAAGAATAAGAAGGTAATTTTTACCATTAACAAAGCCCAACATAATCCAACACACTTCAAGTATCTACGAAAGTGTATATTATCAAGTACGCTCTGTTTCCTGGACAGAGTCTCAATTGACAGTGCAAAAATCAACACCCTTGATTTATTTTTCCCTTTCATTAGGGTCTTCTGATGGTACAGGAGGAGTGTGACTTGAACAGAAAGGCATATTGTTAGCTTTTAAGTCTCATCTCATACATCTCTCTCCCAACACTGACTCAGGATCCCTCCACTCCCAAGTTCTCCAGTGAACACAAGAAGTTCCATGTTGGCTTTTCCTGTGTCAGGACAGAGCTAATATAAGAAAGAAATGTCAGGAATGCTTTTCTGGGAGTGAAGTGCATTTCCCACTGAACATTCATAAAGGGAAGCTGGCATGTGAAGTATGTATCTAAATAAAATGTATGAGGACACAGGAGTGAGGAAATAGGCAAACTTCATGCAAGGTAGGGTTTTCTGCTCTCCCGAGAAGATCAATACTAAAAAAACTTTGATTGTGTTTGTCCTGAAAACTGGCAGTATCCCCTATTGTCCTCGTGAATCAAAGAATTAATAAAATAGTATTTAAGCAGCATTTTCTACCTCTACCTGTAGAAAAGATGCTTTCCAATGGCTTAGCCCTTGTTGCTAAGCTAATGTTCCAGGCTGCACTGTCTGCCAGACTGGGGAACTTGATTTGGAACAACGAGATCCAGTCATGCAGTGAGGAGATTAACTCACATCCGTTATAACACCTTTTGAGGCAACTCATTAAATCAGTCTGGCTGTGAAGTCCAGCAACTTGATGGCATTAATCTAATGTCTCATGCCAGCCCTGAGGTTATCAGTGGACAGCTGTAATTACAATTGATTGAAAAGACATTTTCACAGAGGAGTTTCTGTTTCCTGGAATTCAGGCATTTTTTTCCTGTGTTGCCCAGCCCAGTCATTCCAATCTTATTATCTGCAGGCAGGCATATGCAGCTTTTCAGTAACTTGAAATCAAGGTATGAAATTGGCAATATTCTGATGACAGGCAAGCTACAAATTAAGCTCTAACGACAAGCTCACATGGTCTTTTAATGGCACTGTATCTACCTTCTGCAACCTCCTACATCCTCCCTGTATGTTGGGGAATGTGGTGAGAAGCTCCTGCTTGGTTCACTGTCACTCCAGCTGTGACACTGAACTGGTCGCTGTTTCTTGACCTCTTCCCTTTTCTCTTCCTTGATGGACTCCTCAGAGTCAGAGGACAGCTCGACCACTTCTGGGGTCCTCTCAGCCAGCGGCTTAACATACCCAACAATGACACAATTGTCTGAGGAAGAGCCACTGTCGTTTGAGTCAGCATTGGCCTGTAACTCAGTCTGCAGCTTGGTTCTTCGGCTCCCTGAAGCAGAGTCCTCGTCAGAACTTTCTGATGACTCCAGAGGAGAAGCTATGGTTGCACGAACCTCTTCTGAAACGGAATAGGAAGGCCCTGGAGTTTCATCATCCCACGGGGCCTGACCAAGGCCAGGAACAGACAAACTATTATCCGGCCCTTGCGGGTACGCCACATCGGGAGATATTGTAATAATTGATGAGTCTGAGTGGCTTCCTTCCTCATACGACGGGGCAGGACAGTCATAATTGGCGTGTTGATCGTATGCTTCTAAGTTAAAAGGACAACGAGCAAAACTGATGAATTCGTGCAGAAAGTGCTCTGTCCGATTCAGCAGAAATGGCTTCAGGTCGTCAGCAAAGGCCTGGCTTTCCAGATCGTACCTGGTTACGTTGCTCATGATGATGTGCTGCACAATGTTGATCAGAGACCCGTGGGCACCAAACAGGACCGTAAGCTCTCGCTTCAGCCAAGGAACCAGGCGGTGAAGGCAAGCAGGGTTGCGGCGGAAGAACTCGGCCGAAATCTCTCGGTATCGGCCGCCGTCCTGGATGCTGCGGATGCGCACGCCGGTGCGGTACAGAGCCCTGCGGAAGGTGATCATGTCCTCCTCCTGGATCTGCCTCAGAGATCTGCCCTCCGCGCTGGCCTTCCTCCTTGAGGCCAGCCTCCTGAGCATCTGCTGAATCTCCCTGTGCCTGTGTCGCGCCGGCTCGCTCGACAGCCCTTCAAACAACATCCCGTTATCCGGAGGAGACGGCATCCTTCGAGAAGGGGAACCGCGCGCGCGGCGTTCCCTCGTCAAGGTGGTGCGGTAACGAAACCTCCGGCCGTCGGGGCTGGCAAAAGAGCTTGTTTCTAAAGGGCTGAGGATGTACTCCTTGAAGTCATCTTCAGCACGAATCGTGTGGAAAATGGAGAAGAAGGGTTGCTTGCAGAGCGGGCATTCTGCTTTGTTCTTGGACCACTCTTGCACGCAGCGGAAGCAGAACCTGTGCAAGCAGCGATCCAGATATGCCACGTTGTCAAATCTGTCCAGGCAGATGGGGCACTTGGAGTCGGGAGACGCATCTGTCGGCAGCTTACTGGTGCTGGCTTTTGGAGAAAAATTGCTATCTTCTGCAATCTCTCAGCTAACAGAAAGCACCTAGTACCTCCCACATTTTAGGATTACCATTTGGCAAGTGAGGTCATCCCTGCTGCAAAGCACCTTGGAGCATGAGTCACATCCTGACCTGTGAAGGACGGGCTGAGTTTACTCACTGACATAAGGAGTTTTTCCAAGCCGATGCTCTGTGTGCACCTCCTGTTTCCGCTCTTGGCTCTCAGCCAAAGGGTGCCCACAGGGTCACAACTTGCAGTAGAGATTCAAGGGTCTTTCTCTTTTTGTTTTTATTTTAGTTCCCTGCCATCTCAAGGATGGTCTTAAGCAACCATCTCATCTTGATGTGACCTGCAGGCAGCTGTCAGATGGCAGCAATGCTCACTGATATGTGAATGGGAATTGAGTCAGAAACTCAGAAAGCAAAGGTTTAGCTTCAACAACCACTATTTTAAGCCACCCAGTTCTCACAATGAAGTGAGCTATTTTACTTTATAAAATAATCATGTTCTAAGGCAAAAAAATAAAATAAAATTTGTTTTAAAAGAAAATTAATTATTTTTGTCTAGACAAAAATATAGACTCAGTCTTCTGGACATGAAAGGAATCTAAATATACAGTCTAAACCAGCATTATAATCCAAAAGACCAAGAATGTACAACATGCAGTCACTTACCAAAGGGACTGAATATTTGAAAAATAGCATGCTCCTCTTGAGGAGTTCTCCGGGTAACAATTGGAAGGGAAGATAGAAAGAAATTCAGTATGATCTGCAGACTTTTATTTCTGAACATGGAATAATATTTAATATTCCTGGCACAGGCTCTTCTATGCAAAGCCTTCAAGCTCTGAAATGCACTGCCTTCTACCAGCAAGCAGTAAATCCTCCCAGTCATTCCTCACACTCCTGCAGGGCTGCACATCCACTGGCCAAACAGCGGCCACATTAGCAACCTGACACCTTAAACAAATTCAACGCTTGCCCTTTGGTTGGCTGATGGCAAAGCAGCAAGTTAAACTGGAAAGGTCAAGTGGAAATCTCTGAACAGAGTGAGCCATATTGCAGACACAAAGTAAAGTGAGCAATGAGTTCTCGAGCTATGTGAAAACTGGGTCAAAAGGGCCTGAAACAGAAACTGTTAGGCAAAGTGAGAAACCAAGGTTGTTATTTCAAAGGCGGTCCATGTGGCAATATCGCTCTGTGGCCGGGATGTGCTTTGCTTTTGGCTCTGCTCAAGACTGCAGGCAGTTTTGAACTGTAAGCAGAGGTTGTATAAAGCAGATGCAAGCTGCATTGGGAGCAGAAGCCATGTTCAAAAACAAGGTGTGCAGGGAAAAGCAAACCAACAATCCTGATAATGGGAAGCAATTACATCACATGCTTTCACAAGACAGGCAAGGACAGCATTGAAAATTTTCCACACTCACTAACAGGACACATATTCAGAACTTTTAACCTTCCAAGGATTTCATGCATATTGTCCTCTTAAGTCGCAACGTCTAAGCTTCCAGCCTTCTGCACCATGACTAAACCTGCCTCAAAAGAAGAGCAATGAAACCAGAAGTGTCTCCATCCTCCTCAAAGAAGGGTGCTAGCAGGACAGTGCTTACAAGAATCCCTGTAACACCCTTTGTTAGGCATTTCAGAACTTACAAAGGTGGTGCTTTGTGATCCTGGGCAGCTTCTGGTCCTTCATGGCAATGTATTCAGAGCACACAACACTGAGCGTAGAAACAGGGAACCTTGAAAAAAGAGATGCATGGCAGGTGTGAACACTACGAAGACAACCCATCCTTTCCCTGGTGGAATGCAATCAGAAAAAGCATTCCAAACCAGGACTGCGGGAACTGGTGTAAGACAATAGCAGAATCCTGCACTGAAAAATTTACCTGGAAATTTGTACAGAAATACTAAGGGCACAGTGGTTTTACTAGAAGCCTTAGCCTGTTACCCCAAATTATCTGTCCTTACATCTTGGAAAAAAACAGCCAGCACTTGTGAACAGGGACTGAAGTAACATCCTACTGTAACAGCAGCTTCTTTTAAAGAGGATGAGCCAGGTCGAGTAGAGACCATAAGGGAAAGAATAACAAAGGTAATTCACATTCTGTCTTGCTTCCATAACAGCTGAGCCCTGCACACAGAAAGGCTTCTGAGGCTCTCTCCTCTGCTCCTTGTATGCAGTGGAAATGCTGCTTTTATTGTATGCCACATCATTATGTTGCAGCTGGAGAAAGAAAAAAAAAAATATAAGCCCTTTTTGTACTTGCCTATAAATGGTCAGGTCATGAAAGAAATAAATTGCAACAAATTATGAGGTCCTACGCAAAATGCAGCTCTCTGCAAGCACAGAGTATTCCCAGGTAAGCTTGCCCATTTATTTAATTTTCCTTTTTTTTCCTTTTAATTAATTTGCTTTTATTTCCCCTTTTGTAATTAAATATACTTTAGACATCAAAACAGCCAATATGGAACAGCCTGGTTTTGAAAGCCAACATGCTTTGTAACCGTGGCAAGCTCTCAGAGTCAGGCTGATGCTGCAAGGAATGAACTGCACATTTAAGTTACATAAGCAACTTTCACTAGAGAATATATAAAATGTCAAAATCTGGTACTATGCCTTATGTTCCTCTGTTTTAAGAGTTTAAAAGTTAAAAACTACTGCAAAACCACCGAAGGTTTTCAGTCACAAAGGTGCATGCTTTGAGCTTTAGATATTTGAGAAGTATTTTAAGATGAAACTTGGTGATTTGAGAAGGTTTCAAGGTTTGATTTTTTTATTTAGTTTATTCAATTTTAGGATTCCTGGAGTTTGGAAAGTTAGATGTCCATCTGGATCCTACAGTTTTAAGATTTTTTTTTTAATTCTGAGGTAAAATAACTTTCCTTGATATTCACAAAAAGGCAGGTTACAAATATAATCACATGTGCTTTCCTTTACCATGGACACATGATTCAACTGGCTGCCAGCAAAACAGGCTGCTAAATGCTGAGAAGGTTTGCAATCAGTCTGCAATGAAAAAATCTATACCCCCCTCACCAAAATTTACATGGCATAGTAAAGAGATAACATAATCATTGAGCAGAAAGCAACCACATGAAATAAATGCAGCAAATATTTGCTTATCCAGCCACTAAATAAGTAAAATGCAACCTAGATTGAGCGAGACAAAAATGGAGAGTCCTTATTTTTCATATGATACAAACTATTATCATAATCTTCCTTAAAAACCTATGTGAACAAGTAGAAGTTACAGCGTGGTAGAAGGAGAGCACAAGAACACTTGTGCTGTGCCACATCATATTTGTTATGTTCTAAAGGCAAGATAGCTCATTTCTTGCAGCACTTGTGAAAGCAGGAGAAAAAATAGATGAGGGTGGGGCAAGAAGAGAATTTGAAATATAGAAACAGAGCAAACCCCCAGTCTCTTCTTCAAGTTTCAAAGGCATCCTCATTTGCATTTCCATAACTGAAAATTGAAAGTGCACATTTACTTCTACCCTTTCAGATGTGATATTGTACAAATTCAAAATGGGCCCACAGTCTGAAGAGACACAACCTGGAGTCCAAGTCACCCCTGAAGTACCAGCAGAACAAAACCTTTACAGGGATACAGCAGCCAAGATCAGTACATAGCAGCAGGTCAGCCCCTCAGCTTGGTCTGAGGTGCCTGTACTTCAGAGACTGTAAAAATAAGAAAGCAGCAGGTTTTTAAGAAAGCACCAGCATTCAGTAGTGCTGCAGGTTAATGGTATTCTGTTAAAGCCATATGGATCAGTGTCATGCAGACACCAAGGAGGAAGGAGAAGGGGACAGGGTGATGAAGAAAACTGAGACAGGAGAGTGGGAAAGCTGAAGAAGAGAAGAAGGGTAGCTGCATCTCCACTGGTCTCTGTGGCTATTGCACAGAGTCAGGAGCTCATCCTGAAAATGGCAATTTGATATGCCCACACCCTAGGCCCAGATAGAAACACTGGTTCCAGTGTCTGCTCCCCACAGGGATTCCCCATCTGGCACAAGGTAAAGAGCAAATCAAGCTCTGTCTGAGCATCCCATAATCCAAAACTAATCCCTCGGATACTCCTTTGGACGCCAGCCACCTTTTGTGTCTGATGCCACACGCTGGCATCACGCTGGGTAAAGCAGCATCAGCTCCTTATGGCCATTCTCCTTGGCACAGAAAGGCCCTGGGGGCCGCCCGTGCTGGCAGGGTGCTGTGTGGGAAGAATGCCAGCAGGCACAGCTTTGCAGCCCACCTTGAACCAGGGACATATCCATGCAGAGACACCAGAGTCAGACAGCACTTCAGGTCAAGTGAGGCACCCCTCTAAAAAGGCTTCAGGTTATGGGCAAAACTTGGTCATCTTTTAGGCAGGTGTATAAGAACAAGGACAAGGAGATGTTCTGTGTGCTGGTTTTGGCTTAGGTAGTTTCCACTTTCTTCACAGTGCCAGTATAGGGCTGGGTTTTGGATTTGTGATGAACACAGGGTTGATAACACAGGAATATTTTTGTTATTGCTAAGCAGGGCTTAGACAGAGCCAAGGCCTTTGCTACTCCTCACCCACAACACCAGTGTAGAGGCTGAGGGAAGGAGAAAGGCACAAGGAATTGTGAGGGGACACAGCTGGGACAGCTGACCCCAAATGATCCAAAGAATATCCCAGTCCTACAGCTTATGGTGCCATGCTTAGCATGTAAAACTGGGGGAAGAAGAAGAAGAAAGGGGAGGAAGTTCAGTCATGGCATTTGTCTTCCCAAGTCATCCTTACACAGGATGGGGCCCTGCTCTCTTGGAGATGGCCGAACAACTGGCTGCCTATGGGAAGCAATGAATGAATTCCTTGACTTGCTTTGCTTCTTTTACTTTCCCTATAAAACTGTCTTTATCTCAACCCATGTGTCCTGTCCTGCTGTAAAAGGGGAGCTGGGGAGGATTCCTATTGATAGACCTCTCAGATGAAAATAAAGCACAAGTGCAGCAACATTATATCTGAGAACTGTTTGTTGATAAAGCAGGGCAAGTGCTGCTACCGAAGCGGGACAGAACAGGGAGCAGGGAGGGGAGAAGAGAGAAGG